CAATAACATATTTGCTTGGTGGGAAAATTTTGAAAAAAAATACTTTTCTAAAATTTCGGGTTTTTGGGGTGGTTTTGGTGGGGGTTCCCCGTTTTGCCTTTGGTGACTCAAAACCCCCAATTTTTCCCGCTTAATTTTTCCCAATGGTTTTGGCCAAAGAATAACCAAAAACCTTCCAGGGCCCCGTGGTTTCCGGGGCCAAGTTAGAATACCACTTTAAACCAAAATTGGGGGTTGGGGCCAAAAGGGGAATTTTAGAAAATTCCCCCCGGGGCCCGGGGATAGGGACACTATTTGGGGCTTGGGGGGGGCGGCTCCTCCGCTTTCCCCTTGAATAATTAATTCCCACTGGCCTTGATTAACGTGGCGGAACCGATAAAAACCCCACCACGTCCTTCCTTCCCATCCAATTTTTAAGAAAAACCCTTTCCACTCTAAAATTGGCTTGGGGAGGGAATCCCTCCGGGAGTACTGTCCCCTTCCAGAAGGTTTAAAAAGGGGTTTGCCGGCGGCAACAACGATTCCTTGTATTTTTTTTTCCTCACTAACTAAAAAAGACCGGTAAAGGCAAAAAACCCACTTCCATCATGTAAAACTAACAGATAAGGGGGAAGCCCAAATTTTTTCCGGGATGGGGAACAACCCACCGAGAGTCAAGGTGAACAAGGGAAAAGGGAGGGGCGGTTTCCCCACAATCAAAAAATCCTGGCCCCATTTTTTTTTTATTTGTTCAAACCCAAACCACACCAAACCTCCGTTCTTACAGTGGGGAAAGGGGGTTTTTTTCTGGGGGGGTAAAAAAATTGCCCGGGCGGTAAAAAAGGGTAAATCCCTTTTAAAAATCAAGGGTGGCCTTTTTGTTTAGGGACACCCAAAAAAACCAACCCGGGTTTAACAAAGGCCTTGGGTTTTTTGGCCAAAATTTTACGGAAAAAATTCCCTAATTTTTTACATCCAAAACCTTGACCTTCAAACCCTAAAAAAAAACCTCTTGCCCCTCCTTTCTAACCTTTTTTCCTAAACCTTTTCCCTTTTCCAACATCTCAACTTTCCCCAATTCCCAAAAAATCCACCCTTTCATGAACCTTTTTCCCCACCTTAAATCCCAAAAAAGCCCTTTGCCAAAAAACTACCCACCCAAATTAATTTTTTTCCCAATTTAAAAAAGGGCCACCCCCCCCCCTTTTTACCTTTTCCCAAAAAGGGCCATTTTTTCACGGGTAAAAAACCTTTTGGTCCCCCCACACCCCCTACCTTTCCAAAACCCCTTCCCTTTTCCCTTCGGGGTCACAATAAACCCCAGGTTCCACACACCCCCCTACCTTTCCTAAAGCCCCCCCCTTGTTCTTTTCTAAAAACCAAACTCCGTCTTAACTCTTAATTCTTTCAATAAAAAATTCCAAACCTTACACTTCCCAGGTATACCAACAAACTTATCCCCCTAAAAATTTTGCACTCTTCTTTGTCCCCCTTTCCCTTTTTATAAAAAAGGAAACAATGAAAGCTCCCTCCAATCCCTAGGTCCCCTTCCCTTTTTCCATACTTTTATTAAAAATTTGCACCAACCACCCAAAACAAATTTCCCCACCTTTTTTTAAAAAACTTTTCCTATTTTTAACCCAAACAACCCCGGCTGCCTTACCCCCTTTCTTTTTACCACTGCCTCACGAATTTCCCCCACACCACAATTGGCTCTTCCCCACTCCAACAAGATTTTTTTCCCCTTGCCCAATACACGAAATCACAGTTTTCCCTACCCTTCCCATCAACATTTAAAAATTTCCCTAAAAAAATTCCCTCCATTTTCCAAACCTCTAATTTCCCATTTAATAACCACTCCTCCCTTTTTTTAAAATTTACAAATCCTTTTGTTCCCCCGGGCTTCCCAAAACTGTTAATCTCACTCCCAAAACTTTTTCTTATTTCAAAAAAATTTTTTGTTGATAACATCTCCCCACTCTCTCATTTTGCCCTTTTAACATTGCTTTAATTTTACTTTGTTTTATTTTGGTTTTTCTTTGTTTTACTTTATTTTTTATGTTGTTAGTACTTTTTTTATACGGGAAGGTTTTGGGTTTTAAACACTGTGTACAACACAAAAAGTTTTTTTTTTCCCAAAATTTTGGGCATAAAAAAAAACGGCCATAAGTCGATGGCCCCTAATTTCGAGCAGGCCCAAAACCGGATGGTAGGTGCACTTACAAAAAACGCTTACAAAATTTGTTCGAGTTTTGAGCTTTTTTAAACCCGGATTACAAACTGTAGGGGAACCAAACCCTTTCATAAAAACCGGGGGCCTGCCTTTTTAACTGGAAATTAAAGGATCCACTAAAAAGGATCTTGAAAATTTCTAGCAGAAATTTTCTAAAGGGGGGGGTTTCGGAAACAGCAAAATTCCTTTACTAAAATTTTTAAAAACAAACCACCCAACCCAATTTTGGAATACAAAATTTAACTTCAGTCCCCCCCTCGACAACTTCAAAAAATAAAAGCAAATGCCCCCCCTTGGCCCAGAAATCCAACTTTAAAATCTTCCCCACTTTTCCCAAATCCTAGACACTTCATTCCAAAAAGAAACCTTTACCAAAAGAAAAAAAACTCCCCTGCAGAAAATTTTTAAACCTAGTACAATAAAAAAAATTTTTTTGTTCGGGAAAAAATCGGGTTGGTTAGGGAATTTAAACCCTTTTCAAAATTAAACCAAAAATCTTTTCCCGAGGACCCAACGATATAAAAGGGATACATTTTTTTTTTTTCAGATTCTTTCTCTAATTTAAAAAACCCCTTTATACTACAAAAAAATTTTTCAGAAAAAATTCCCCCATTTTTAAGAGGTTTAAAAAACAGTGCTATCACTAAACACAATTTTCTGAACTAGCACAAAATTTGTATACAAATGGCAAAGAATCCCGAAAAAAGGAAAAAAGGGAAACATTAAACCAATTGGAATCTTTTTTTAACGACGTTTTGGGGCCCATCCAGGGCTTTTTTTCAATAAAAAAAAATTTGAGGACAAAAGGGAAGACTTTTTGAACAAAAAACAAAAACGAGGAAAATCATTCCCCCCCCCTTTGAAGTCGGGAGTACAGTTTCCCTTAAAGACTATGGAAAAACCATTTCCAAAGGGCAGAGGGGATGGCTTACCCCCTCTTTTGCATATACATGTATTTTCTGCCAGTCTTCCCACTGTACTTAAATTTTGGGTATTGATAAACCCCAAAAGGCAAAATTTTGGGGACAATTAAAGATCCAGTTTTTTGCAAAAATTTTTTTTTTAAAATTAAAGGGGGGGGGAAAAAAAAAAAAATTTTTAAAAAGGAACAAAATTTTTCCCCCGGGGAAAAAAAAATTTAAAAAAAAAAATTTTCCCCCCCCCCTTTTTAAAAACCCCCCCCCCCCCTTTTAAACCCCCCCCGGGGGGCCCAAACCCCCAAAACCCCCCCCCCCCCCCCCCCCCCGGGGGGTTTTAACCCCCCCCCCAAAAAAAAACCCCGGGGGCCCCTTTTTTTAAAGGGGCCCCCCAAGGGGCCCCCCCCGGGGCCCCCGGGGGGCCCCCCCGGGGGGCCCCCCCTCCCCCGGGGGGGGAAAAGGGCCCCCCCTTTTTTTGGGGGCCCCCCCCGAGAGGCTTTTGGGGGCCCCCCCGGGGGTTGCCGGGGGCCCCCCCGGGGTTTTGGGGGGGGCCCCCGGGGGTTTCCCCCCCCCAAAAAACCCGGGCCCCCCCCCCCCCGGGGCCCCCCCAAAACCCCCCCCCGGGGGGGGGGTTTTTTTCCCCCCCCCCCCCTTTTGGGGGCCCCCTTCCCCCCCCAAAAAAAAAAACCCCCCCCCAAAAATTTAAAAACCCCCCCAAAAATTTTTTTTTTTTTTCCCCCCCCCAAAAAAAAATTTTTTTTCCCCCCTTTTAAAAAAATTTTGGGGGGGGGCCCCCCCCCAAAAAAAAAAAAAATTTTTTAAAAATTAAAAAAAAAATTTTTTTTTTGGGGGGAAAAAAGGGGGGCCCCCCCCCAAAAAAAGGGGGGCCCCCCCCAAAAAAATTTTTTCCCCCCCCAAATTTTAAAATCCCCCCTTAAAAAAGGGGGTTTTTTTTGGGGTTAAAAAAAATTTTTTAAATTTAAAAAAAAAGGGTTAAAAGGGCCCCCCGGGGAAAAAAACCCCCAACCCCCCAAAAAATTTTTGGGGCCCCTCCAAATTTTTAAACCCCCTTTAAAAAAAATTTCCCCCCAAAAAATTTATTGGGGGTTTGGGGGGGTTTTTTCCCGGGGGCCCCCAAAAAGGGGGGGGGGGGCCCCCCCCCCCCCCCCTTTTTTAAAAAACCCCCCCCCGTTAAAACCCCCAAAAAACCCAAAAAAATTTTAAAAAAAATTTTTTTTTTTAAAAAAAAAAAAAACCCCTTAGGAAAAAATTTTAAAAAAAAATTTAAAAAAGGGGTTTTTTTTTTGGGGGAAAAAAAATTTTAAACCCTTTTTTTTAAAAACAAAAAAATTTTAAAAACCCAATTTTTTAAAAAGGGGGAAAAAAAATTTTTTTAAAAAAAAAATTTTTTAAAAAAAAATTTTTTTTTAAAAAAAAAAAAAAAAAAATTTTTTTTTTTTTCAAAAAAAAAAAAAAAAAATTTCCCCCCTTTTGAAAAAAAAAAATTTAAAAAAAAAAAAAAGAAAAAAAAAGGGGGGGTTTCCGGGGTTTTTTTTTTCCCCCCCTTTTTTTTCCCCCCCCCAAAAACAATTTTAAAAAATTTTTTCCGGGGGGAAAAAAAAAAAAAAACCCCACCATCAAAGTAATTTTCCTACCTATAAAATGCTTCATTCATCTGAAGATCCATTCACTTAAATATGATGAGTGTTCAGCAGTTTTTAGGGAGATTTACCTTTTGAATTCCTATCCTTTAGAGTAACATTGTTTGAATATTTAAAGCCTATAGTTGCTTACAAACAGAAAATTCATGACCACCATATGCTCGTAAATTATTTAACTATTAACCCGAATCTAGTCCAGAATTTGTTTCAGCGATATTTAAGAAATCAAACTTGCAGCAGAGTGACAAACTTACCCTGGTTGCGAGTGGGTGTGCTGGGTGCGTTGGCGGCCAGGCTGGCAGATGAATGGCTCCGGCTCTCTATGTGACTGCTCCGGCGCTGACGCTTACTTGCCGGGCTCTCCAAGCCACAATCGCCACTATCCTGAAATTAAATACCTCCAGATATTTCTCAAAATCAATACACTAGAAGATGCATTATCCTGTTATTATACATAATCAAACATAATACACCTACACAACCTGAGGCCCAAAAAATATTTCATCCATTACATAATACAGTGGTCCCTCGCTTTTCGTAGTTCCCGGCAATCGTAAATTTCGCCAATCATAGGGTTATTTTCATATAAACATGGACTCGCTTTTCATAAGTTGACTCGCGAGTCATAATTCGTCCCAGACGCGTACCCACGGCGTGAGCCGTGGTGGCAGCCAGTCTGGCATTGTTTACCAGTGAGCGAAGGTCCCCTCACGTGCTCCAGCGAAATATTTCATAATATTCCATTTATTTTAGTGCTTGCAAGTACTAAATAATCTACCATGGCTCCAAAGAAAGCTCCTAGTGCCAAGCCTGTGGTAAAGAAGATGAGAAATACGATTGAATTTAAGAAAACCATCATTGAACAATATGAAAGTGGTACAAGTGTGGCCGAACTGGCCAGGATGTATAAGAAACCCTACACAACCTTATGTTCCATAGTGGCCAAGAAAAAGGAAATCAAGGATGCTGTTGTTGCAAAGGGGGTAATTATGCTGACAAAAATGAGATCACCAGTACTGGAAGAGGTCGAGAAGTTATTATTGGTGTGGATAAATGAGAAACAATTAGCAGGAGATACTCTTATGACTTCGATTATTTGTGAAAAGGCTAGGCAGTTGCATGAAGATTTGGTAAAGAAATTGCCTGCAAATAGTGGTGATGTGAGTGAATTTAAGGCCAGCAAAGGCTGGTTTGAGAGATTTAATAACCGTACTGGCATACACAGTGTGGTAAGGCATGGTGAGGCTGCCAGTTCGGACCAAAAGGCACCTGAATTTTTTTTTTTTTTTCAACAAGTTGGCCGTATCCCACCGAGGCAGGGTGACCCAAAAAAGAAAGAAAATGCTTTCATCATCATTCAACACTTTCACCACACTCACACATAATCACTGTTTTTGCAGAGGTGCTCAGAATACAACAGCTTAGAAGCATATACGTATAAAGATACACAACATATCCCTCCAAACTGCCAATATCCCAAACCCCTCCTTTAAAGTGCAGGCATTGTACTTCCCATTTCCAGGACTCAAGTCCGACTATATGAAAATAACCGGTTTCCCTGAATCCCTTCACTAAATATTACCCTGCTCACACTCCAACAGATCGTCAGGTCCCAAGTATCATTCATTTCCATTCACTCCTATCTAACACGCTCATGCACGCTTGCTGGAAGTCCAAGCCCCTCGCCCACAAAACCTCCTTTACCCCCTCTTTCCACTCTTTCGAGGACGACCCCTACCTCGCCTTCCTTCCCCTATAGATTTATATGCTTCCTCCATGTCATTCTACTTTGATCCATTCTCTCTAAATGACCAAACCACCTCAACAACCCCTCTTCTGCCCTCTGACTAATACTTTTATTAACTCCACACCTTTTCCTAATTTCCACACTCCAAATTTTCTGCATAATATTTACACCACACATTGCCCTTAGACAGGACATCCTCCACTGCATCCAACCATCTCCTCGCTGCTGCATTACCACCCAAGCTTCACACCCATATAAGAGTGTTGGTACTACTATACTTTCATACATTCCCTTCTTTGCCTCCATAGATAACGTTTTTTTGACTCCACATATACCTCAACGCACCCACTCACCTTTTTTCCCCATCAATTCTATGATTAACCTCATCCTTCATAAATCCATTCGCCGAACGTTAACTCCCAAGTATCTGAAAACATTCACTTCTTCCATACTCCTCCTCCCCAATTTGATATCCAATTTTTCTTTATCTAAATCATTTGTACCCTCATCACCTTACTCTTTTCTATGTTCACTTTCAACTTTCTACCTTTACACACATTCTCAAACTCATCCACTAACCTTTGCAATTTTTCTTTAGAATCTCCCATAAGCACAGTATCATGAGCAAAAGTAACTGTCAATTCCCATTTTGAATTTGATTCCCCATAATTTAATCCCACCCCTCTCCCGAACACCCTAGCATTTACTTCTTTTACAACCCCATCTATAAATATATTAAACAACCATGGTGACATACACATCCCTGTCTAAGACCTACTTTTACGGGAAGTATTTTCCTCTCTTCTACACACCCTAACCTGAGCCTCACTATCCTCATAAAAACTCTTTACAGCATTTAGTAACTTACCACCTATTCCATATACTTGCAACATCTGCCACATTGCTCCTCTATCCACTCTATCATATGCCTTTTCTAAATCCATAAATGCATGAAAACTTCCTACCTTTATCTAAATACTGTTCACATATATGCTTCAATGTAAACACTTGATCTACACATCCCCCTACCCACTCTGAAGCCTCCCTGCTCATCCGCAATCCTACATTCTGTCTTACTCTAATTCTTTCAATTATAACCCTACCGTTAATACTTTCCTGGTATACTCAGTAAACTTATTCCTCTATAATTTTTACAATCTCTTTTGTCCCCTTTCCCTTTATATTAAAGGGATATACATGCTCTCTGCCAATCCCTAGGTACCTTCCCCTCTTTCATAATTTATTAAACAAAAGTACGAACCACTCCAACACTATATCCCCCCCTGCTTTTAACATTTCTGTCATGATCCCATCAGTTCCAGCTGCTTTATACCCCCTTTCATTCTACGTAATGCCTCATGTACCTCCACCACACTTACTTCTGCTCTTCTTCACTCCTAAAAGATGGTATACCTCCCTGGCCAGTGCATGAAATTACCGCCTCCCTTTCTTCCTCAACATTTAAAAGTTCCTCAAAATATTCTCGCCATCTACAATACCTCCCTTTCCCCATCTACTAATTCCCCTACTCTGTTTTTAACTGACAAATCCATACTTTCCCTAGGCTTTCTTAACTTGTTTAACTCACTCCAAAATTTTTTCTTATTTTCATTAAAATTTCTTGACAGTGCCTCTCCCACTCCATCTGCTCTCCTTTTGCACTCTCTCACCACTCTCTTCAGCTTTCTTTTACTCTCCATATACTCTGCTCTTCTTATAACACTTCTGCTTTGTAAAAACCTCTCATAAGCTACCTTTTTCTCTTTTATCACACCCTTTACTTCATCATTCCACCAGTCACTCCTCTTTCCTCCTGCCCCCACCCTCCTATAACCACAAACTTCTGCCCCACATTCTAATACTGCATTTTTAAAACTATTCCAACCCTCTTCAACCCCCCCACTACTCATCTTTGCACTAGCCCACCTTTCTGCCAATAGTCGCTTATATCTCACCCGAACTTCCTCCTCCCTTAGTTTTATACACTTTCACCTCCCTCTTACTTGTTGTTGCCACCTTCCTCTTTTCCCATCTACCTCTTACTCTAACTGTAGCTACAACTAAATAATGATCTGATATATCAGTTGCCCCTCTATAAACATGTACATCCTGGAGCCTACCCATCAACCTTTTATCCACCAATACATAATCTAATAACTACTTTCATTACGTGCTACATCATACCTTGTATATTTATTTATCCTCTTTTTCATAAAATATGTATTACTTATTACCAAATTTCTTTCTGCACATAGCTCAAAGGCTCCCCATTTACATTTGCCCCTGGCACCCCAAATTTACCTACTACTCCCTCCATAACATTTTTACCCACTTTTGCATTGAAATCCCCAACCACCAATACTCTCACACTTGATTCAAAACTCCCCACGCATTCACTTAACATTTCCCAGAATCTCTCTCTCTCCTCTACACTTCTCTCTTCTCCAGGTGCATACACACTTACTATAACCCACTTTTCACATCCAATATTTATTTTACTCCACATAATCCTTGAATTTATACATTTGTAGTCTCTCTTTTCCTGCCATAACTTTTCCTTCAACATTATTGCTACTCCTCCTTTAGCTCTAACTCTATTTGAAACCCCCTGACCTAATCCATTTATTCCTCTCCATTGAAACTCTCCCACCCCTTCAGCTTTGTTTCACTTAAAGCCAGGACATCCAGTTTCTTCTCATTCATAACATCCACAATCATCTCTTTCTTATCATTTGCACAACATCCACGCACATTCAGACTTCCCACTTTGACAATTTTCTTCTTATTCTTTTTAGTAATCTTTACAGGAAAAGGGGTTACTAGCCCATTGTTCCCGGCATTTTAGTTGACTTTTACAACACGCATGGCTTACAGAGGAAAGTTTCTTATTCCACTTCCCCATGGATATAAAAGGAAAAGTAATAAGACCAAAAACTATTAAGATAAAATCCAAGAAAACTCAGATGAGTGTGTATAAATAAACGTGTACATGTATGTGTAGTGTGACCTAAGTGTAAGTAGAAGTAGCAAGACATGCCTGTAATCTTGCATATTTGTGAGACAGACAAAAGACACCAGCAATCCTACCATCATGTAAAACAATTACAGATTATATTCATTCGGAAACACAACCCATAAGGGTATTACAGCACCTGAGGAATGGAAGGTAATCAAGTTTAATCCAACAGTTCAATAGGTCGCAAAAACCACTCGTCTCCATTCACTCCTAACACGCTCACACATGCTTGCTGCATGTCCAGGCCCCTTGCAAACAAAACCATCTAAGCATACATTCAGTACATTTCATATTATCACAGTGTTTTTAGTGCTTGTAACTGCAAAATAAGTCACCACGGGCCCCAAGAAAGCTTCTAGTGCCAACCCTGTGGTAAAAAGAGTGAAAATTACTATGGAAATTAAGAAAGAGATAATTGCTAAGTACAAAAGTGGAGTGCATGTCTCGGAGCTGGCCAGGTTGTATATCAAACCCCAATCAACCATCGCTACTATCTTGGCCAACAAAACGGCAATCAAGGAAGCTGTTCTTGCAAAAGGTGCAAGTTTGTTTTCGAAACAGATTGCAAGTGATAGATGTTGAGAGACTGTTATTGGTGTGGATAAACGAAAAACAGATAGCAGGAGACAGCATCTCTCAAGCGATCATATGTGAAAAGGCTAGGAAGTTGTATGAGGATTTAATTAGAAAAATGCCTGCAACTAGTGGCGATGCGAGTGAATTTAAGGCCAGCAAAGATTGGTTTGAGAGATTTAAGAATCGCAGTGGCATACATAGTGTGATAAGGCATGGTGAGGCTGCCAGTTCGGACCAAAAAGCGGCTGAAAAATACGTGAAGGAATTCAAGAAGTACATAGACAGTGAAGAATTGAAGCCTGAACAAGTGTTTAATTGCGATGAAACAGGCCTGTTTTGGAAGAAAATGCCAAGCAGGGCCTACATTACTCAGGAGGAAAAGGCACTCCCAGGACATAAGCCTATGAAAGACAGGCTTACTCTTTTGATGTGTGCTAATGCTAGTGGTGATTGCAAAGTGAAGTCTTTATTGGTGTATCACTCAAACTCCCAGAGCATTCAGGCAAAACTATGTCCTCAAGGCTAATTTGTGTGTGATGTGGAGGGCAAACATTAAGGCATGGGTCACTAGGGACTTTTTCTATGGCTGGTTACACCATGCATTTGCCCCCACTGTGAAAAATTACCTAATGGAAAAGAAACTGGATCTTCAGTGCCTCCTGGTATTAGACAATGCTCCTGGTCATCCTTCAGACTTGGCAGAGTGATTTTCTGGGGACATGAGCTTCATTAAGGTCAAGTTTTTGCCTCCTTATACCACTCCTCTCCTGCAGCCCATTAATGACCAGCAGGTCATTTCAAACTTCAAAAAACTCTACACAAAAGCTGTTTCAAAAGTGCTTTGAAGTGACCTCAGACACTCGATTGACTAAGAGAGTTTTGGAAAGATCACTTTAGTATCCTCAGTTGTGTAAACCTTATAGGTAAGGCTTGGGAGGGAGTGACTAAGAGAACCTTGAACTCTGCTTGGAAGAAACTGTGGCCAGAATGTGTAGACCAAAGGGATTTTGAAGGGTTTGAGGCTAACCCTGAGAGGAGTATGCCAGTTGTGGAATCCATTGTGGCATTGGGGAAGTCCTTGGGGTTGGAGGTTAGTGGGGAGGATGTGGAAGAGTTGGTGGAGGAGGACAATGAAGAACTAACCACTGATGAGCTCCAAGATCATCTTCAACAGCAAGAGGCCACACCTGAAACTGCTTCAGAGGGGGGGGAGAGAGAAATTGAGGAAGTTGCCTACTTCAAAGATTAAGGAAATGTGTGGAAAGTGGGTTGAACTGCAAATCTTTACGGATGAAAATCACCCTGATACAGTTACTGCAAGCCGTGATGGCAACCTGTACAATGACAATGTTATGGCCCATTTTAGGAAAGTCTTAAAGGAATGAGAGGTACAGAGCCCTATGGATAGATTTGTTGTGTGACAGAGGTCCAGTGACTCTCAAGCTGGTCCTAGGGGCATTAAAAGAAGAAGGGAAGTAACCCCAGAAAAGGACCTGCTACCTCAAGTCCTAATGGAAGGGGATTTCCCTTCTAAACAATAACTTCTACAATCTCCCCTCTTCCCATCCCATCAATCATCACCAGATCTTCAATAAAGGTAAGTGTCATGTATTCTATTCTTAGTAGAGTAGTAATTGTGCATGTCTTCTTCAGTTTGTGTGTATTAAAATTAATATTTCATGTGTTAAAAATTTTTTTTTTCATACTTCGGGGTGTCAGGAACGGATTAATTTGATTTTCATTATTTCTCATGGGGAAAATTAATTCGGCTAACGATAATTTCGGCTTACGATGAGCTCTCAGGAATGGATTAATATTGTAAGGCAGGGGTCCACTGTAGTATGCTCCTCACTTAGCCACGAATTTGTTTAACAATGTGGTCTCAGGAACAAAACTCCATCATTAAGTGAGGAGAGCCGGCATTGAAAAGTAACTAAATGACTTGTTCCCATGCTCCAGCAATGTTCTTGATATGTTAAGGATGTTAAAATGCATCACTATCACACCACAGTAAAGGAGAAATATCCTAAGTCAAACCACCAAAATGCAAGGAGCACCTGTATACAGGGAGGGCAAGTGAGAAGAACTCTGGTGGAGACTTACGGTGTAACGTGCGTCACTGTTGCTGCTGTTACTGGTGAACCTGTGTCTCTTGCTGGAGTTGCCAGCTGCACCTGCTGTGTTGGACGTAATGTTACTAAAACCTCCTGTAGGCTCTTGTGGACCGTCGCTGCTTCTCCTTTTGGTATGCACTACCTCCGTGATACCAATCTTTCGCTTGCGTAGGGGTAGGGGACTCCCGAAAGCCTCCAACCCCTCCACTACTGACCCAACCAGCTGATTTCTGCAATTAAAATGTTAACATTTAACATTCAATGCATGCATCTTTAACTTCCTGTAGTAATGTGCATATGTACCAGTACTGTAGAATAAATACAGTAAATAACATTCCGTGACAATTCGCAGAACTCGTTACTTGATAACTAGTTTATGTAACTAACTGGTAGATTACTATACAAGTTTCCCCATGATAGGGTTAGTGAATCACACAGTGGATACAGTTCAAACCTACAGTATTCAAGTGTTAAAACCCTTAGGTCAGAGTGCTAACCACTGGACTAGCTTGCTCTAATAGGATTCATCCAACTGGACTTGCCTGCCATGGGTTCAAGCACCACCTGTTCTGTGATTTGCTTGCAATTCTAATATGATTTCATGAGTCAGAGTTAGTTGTCAAAACTAGCCTTCAAAATATATTGTACTACTGTAATATTCAAAATGCAGCATCAAAGCCCCATAAATACTGGAAAACATTGTGTATATTACAAACCTATTCCTGGTTGGCGCAGTGTGGGCCCCACTGGTGGTGGCGGCTCGTGAGTGTGACCCCCCTGCGGTCCCCTCACCGCGCTCCGCCATAGGCACTGGTCTCGAACCCAATCATGCCAACAACACCTAAGGAATGAAGACAATTTTACACATGGTTTTCTACAAAACTTTATTCCTTAACTTTTAAACACACTGGCAGTCTCCCACCGAGTTAAGGCAACCCGAAAAAGAATAAACGCTTTCCCCATCACTTACTGTCTTGCCAGAGGTGTGCTGCTATTGCGGCAATGACCCTCCAAACTACAATATCTCCAGCACTCCTCCAGAGTGCAGGCACTGTACTACCCACCTCCAGGACTCATGTCCTGCTAACTAGTTTCCCCTAAATCCCTTCATGTTACTGATCGCACTCCAACAGCAAATTAAGTCATAAAACCCACTTTCCTCCACTCACATACAAAACCTTTATCCACAAAATCTACAAGATTTGGCACATTTACTCTGATTTAAGCAAAAATATTTTAATTTTAGTGGAAAATAGGAAATATTCTGAAAATGATAAAAATAATTGAAAATACTATGACTCCTACCCCCTCCTCCTCTCCACTACAGATTTATACACTTTCCAATTCATACTATTTTGCTCCATCCTCAGTGTCCAAACCCCTCCTCAGTCCTCTGGATAATAATACTATTAGTAACCCCCACACCTCATTCTAATCTCCAAACTATGAATTCTCAGCATAATATTTGCACCATACATTGCCCTCAGACATACCATCTCTACTGCCTCCAACCTTAGTGCAGTGTTTAAAACCCATGTCACTATACTCCTCCATGGTAAAGGTTTGTCACAATAAATACCTCATTGTACCACCCACCTATATCCCCCCCATGTCAATTCTCTGGTTCACATCTACAGACCCATTCATCAAAAAAGTTCACTCCTGAACGTTTGAACACCCTTACTTCCTCCATACTCCCTCCTTCCAATATGATATCCAATCTTCCATTACCTGAATTTTTTGTCACTCATCACCCTGCTCTTCCCTATATTCACTTGCGTAACTTCTTTTATGTACCTTCCGAAATCTGTCTACCAACCTGTGTAACCTCTCTATTTCCCAAAAGCACGTCAACAGCAAAAAGGCACTGCGACAATTCCCACTTTGCATTAGATTCTTTACCTTTAATCCCAAACCTCTCCCCAACACCCAGCATATGAAAATGTTAATCAACTATGGTGACATCACACATCCCTAAGTCAACTTATACTGGAAAATAATCTCTCCTACATACCCTGAGCCTCACTATCTTCATAAAAACTCTTAATTGCTTCAAGTAAATTTCTACCTATTTGATTTACTTGAAACATTGCTTGCTTATTCACCATATCATATGCCTTCTCTAAATCAAAAAGTGCAACAAAAACTATCTTACCTTTATCTAAAACAACCTTACTCATCTCGGCCTCAATTCTTTCAATAACTCAACCACACACTTCACCTGGTATACTCAACAGCCTTATTACCCCATAATTCTTGCACTCTTACCCCTTTCCCTCTCTATACAGAGGAACTATGCATGCTCTTTGCCAATCCCTAGGTACTTTCCCACCCCAAACTATACCCCCATATGCTTTTAGCATTTCTGTCTGGATCTCATCAATCTCAGCTACTTTACTCCCTTTCATTCTACCCACAGTCCCATGCATTTCAAATCTTTACACCTTTTATTTTTTAACACATTGGCCGTTTCCTACGAAGACAGGGTGAGGTGACCAGACTGGGTGGGTCATTGGGCTATTCGGGGGGGGGGGGGGTCATTGGGCTAATCCGGGAGGGGGGACATGGACCTGCTCCACATGGGTCAGTAGGCCTGTTGCAGTGTTCCTTCTTTCTTATGTTCTAAAAAAAGAAGAAACTTTTACCATCACCGTCTTGCCAGAATATCAATACATATACTGTACTTCAATTTTTTCCATATATATATAGGGTAAAAAGGCATGCGTGTGTTAGATGGGAGTGAATGGAGACAAATGGCTTTTAGGACTTGACATGCTGTTGGAGTGTAAGCAAGGTAACAGTCATGAAGGGATTCAGGGAAACTGGCAGGCCGGACTAGAGTCCTGGAGATGGAGAGTACAGTGCCGGCACTCTAAAGGAGGGGTGTTAATGTTGCAGTTTTATAACTGTAGTGTTAACGTGCCTCTGGGAAGACAGTGGAGTGAATGATGAAGTTTTTCTTTTTCAGGACACCCTACCAAGGAAGGAAATGGTCAGTGTTAATAATAAACAGTTCAACCCCAATATTTGCAAGCTTCAGTTATACACCTTTTAAAGAAGGGGATCTCACAAATACCAAACTATTGCTGAGACCTTTCTTTCAGTGCTTATTTTTTTTGTTTGTTTGTTTATTTAGCACACGACCCTTATATTTACAACCATAAAAATCCATTCAAGATGCGCTTATTGACGTTCCCCCATTCATTATGTCAGTTTGTGAAAATAAAATTAGTGGGAAAAAAAAATTTAAATACATAAGTGATAAATAAATGTAGACAGTAGCATTTAATGTAAGTTGGAAAGAATGCATTAAAGGAGGAGGATGGTAGCAGTAGTAATAGCAGCTGTGATATTTACAAAGCACTTTGACTATGTATGTCACTCAGTGCTCAAGGACACAACTCAGTGATGTAAGAAGTCTCGGGAAGATCATGAAATTTATCACGAGAAACTTGTACAGTATTACACAATACCAGCAAACTACAAATACTTGTATGCTCTACATATACGGAATGAAAAACGCTATAAAAGCTATTCAAACTATATCAAGCCTAAATGGGGATATAGTCGTGAGTTATAAAAAAAAAAAAAAAATGACCATAAGGAATCCTGAAAAACTAAAGTGCCTTCATTGACTGATAGCCCAAGTTACAAAAACACAGTACCGATGTCCCCCCACCTTACAAACAAGTTACGTTCCAGAAGGCCGTTTGTATCTTGAATTGTTCGTAAGTTATTTTGCCATTTTTCTAATGTTTGTATTATTATTGTTTTTAATATTATTAGTGTCCTGTCTCTGTGCCATTATTTGTTGAAAACTTAAAGACAATACCGTACAGTATCAGTAATGTACTGATACTGTACAGTCTGTTCGTATGTCTGTCCGAATGTTCGTATGTCCAAATATTCCCAACTTGAATGTTCGTAAGTAGGGTAGTGTCTGCACACATACTAGACAAAAGGAATACTTCTCAGCATCTTAAACAGGATGAACAAGAGGCTAAAAATATAAACAGAAAAGCAGTCCCAAAGGAACACTGGAAAAAAAAAAAATTCAGTAAACAGAAATATGATGAAAGAACTGGTATTAAATGCTACAAGTAGAACTTTAGAGTTATACAACACACTGGTATAAACCTACGTAACAGGTGCCGACAAGTTGGTGAGCACGCACTAGACATTTTTATTTGTTAGAAACGTTTTCTAATATATCGGTGTTAGCTGAGGTGTCTATAAATTGATACAATACGTTAAACAGTGAAGACAATGCTAATAACCTAGCCATGGTCCTCTACTCTGGAAGAAATAAGTCTGCGATTTCTCCAAGTTATCCTAGAGGGTAATTTACCCATGTTATTACATATGATATTTGAGTGATATTTGTGTAACGTATTTACCACATTTCACGGCTTATAAGACTTGTTTTAGTTTCACTGGCTCAGAATCAGACGTAACTCAGAGCTACAGTCCACCCTACACCCCAAACTTACAGCTCCTGTCACTGACCTGCTGTTTATAGGACGCAGGCTGGTTTTTGGAGACATTTCATAGAAAAACAAAAAATGCGTATAATAAGCTACAAAATACGGTATGTGTGCCCATACCTGAATACCGTAAAATTACTTACGAAGAAGTGCTACAGTAACGTGTGTATTCCTTCCTGTACCTGAACCAGGCTCTGGTGGCCTGGTGGTTAACGCTCTCGCTTCACACGGTGAGGGCCTGGGTTCGATTCCCAGCCAGAGTAGAAACATTGGACGTGTTTCTTTCCACCTGTTGTCTATGTTCCCCATCAGTAAAATGGGTACCTGGGTGTTAGTCGACTGGTGTGGGTCACATCCTGGGACACTGACCTAAGGAGGCCTGGTCACAGACCGGGCCGCGGGGGCGTTGACCCCCGGAACTCTCTCCAGGTAAACCCCTCCAGGTACCTGTGTATGATTTTAGGAGTCTACTCTCCCAGCCCGACACTATACCAGGCTTCCCTGGTGACTGCCACCTCACCAATACTACTGTCCCTGGCACTCTGCTGGTAGATTAAGAAACGTTTAACTCTTTATACAGAATTGTCTACTGTGCTTATGTCAACAGGGCTTCATAATTCACTCACAGAATCAGCATATTAATGCTGAGATGGTGAATATATAAAACACAAATTGCTTATTTTTATGCCAAAATAGTGAATACACTAACTTCTAATTTTTGGGCAGAGATAATGAATATACCAACTTCAAACTTTGTATTTAACACCAAGATAGGTGAATATACCAAGTTTTAATTTTCCATCTTTGATACCGAGGAAAAAAATTGCATTGTTACATAAATTAATTTGCTGTACTGGAGTATAATGCACAGGAGGCAAAAAAAATGACAGCAAAAGATTGTGAAAATGTGAGCAGGGGAGGGCCTGGGTTCGATTCCCAGCCAGAGTAGAAACATTGGACGTGTTTCTTTCCACCTGTTGTCTATGTTCCCCATCAGTAAAATGGGTACCTGGGTGCTAGTCGACTGGTGTGGGTTGCATCCTGGGACACTGACCTAATTTGCCCGAAATGCGGAGCATAACAAGGGAGTTTCTATATAGTAGTATGTCATTGTTGTCAGCTAGGACTGTATGCCTTGTACATGTACTTGTAGTAAATAAAGATATTATTATTATTTTTTTTTTTTTTTTTTATTATCACACCGGCCGATTCCCACCAAGGCAGGGTGGCCCGAAAAAGAAAAACTTTCACCATCATTCACTCCATCACTGTCTTGCCAGAAGGGTGCTTTACACTACAGTTTTTAAACTGCAACATTAACACCCCTCCTTCAGAGTGCAGGCACTGTACTTCCCATCTCCAGGACTCAAGTCCGG